AAAATGATATTTTATCCATTATCTAGCAAATTTAGTTGAAATACAAAATCAATTTTAAATTTGTTACGTCCATGCCGTTATTAAAATTTAGATTACACGATATTTGGTAATATATATGGTCAAGCCAAAACGTACTGCTACTGTTCTGTTATAGAAAAATTGAATTTATATGGTATCTGCTTTTCTCCAAATGTGTCGTGGTGCTGCCTTTATTGGCGGTTTTCGAGGAATCGAGGTTCCGAAAAGGATAATTTTCCGAAACTTTGTATTTGCGGAATACCTGAAATTCATTTTTCGCTTAGTTAGTCTTTTTTTGAACACTATTTTCTTGTTAAATTTAATGTATTCATTCAGTTTAAAGATTTTTCATCTATTTTCGTGACAATATTATATTTTGATCAGCATTTTCAATTTTCATATTTACCTATAAGTGAACACTATATACGCGTGGAACCTATATTCAATGTGTAAAAATATTCTGGCTGAAAGTGCTGCTAGCTTCACAGTGGTCTAAAAATCATATTTTTCTGCGCTTGATCAACCACGGGGTCAAAGGTAACGCAGTTATCACATTCAACCTTTTAATGGATGGCTCTGGTCAATGACATTAAACAACATGATAGGCAACTCTGACGTCACTCCATAAGACTACATGCGAAAGATTGTATTTCATGATACGCTCTAATGCACATATTTCTCGTCGCCTTTCGCGACGGTTTCCCGCTTGCTTTTGCTACTCGGCGTCTTCTTTACGTGTAGTACCCGCCTTTTTGCGCCTGTAACGAAAGAAAATAATCTCTATATCTGAGAAGTTTTGCTCATTTGGAAAGCAAGAATGGCAGACAAGCTGTATAGAGTAATTCTGAACATCATAGACGTTTTTTTATCAGAGAATATTACAAACGCGATAGCGTAAAGATTTGTGTGAAACATTTTGCAGATAATGACAAAGTTCAAAGTTAATAATTTTAATGTTTGCGCTTAAACATTAAAATTTCTTTTAAAGAGGGTGTCATACAAAACAGCAAAACTGTTTTTACTTCTCTTAAAGGTGATGTGATACAATTCCATAACAGAAAGTTTGAAACTATCGAACTTGCTTTAGTAGAAGAATTTATTAGACATATTACATATTCAGTTAATCGTAGGTAACATTGCTGGTACATAATGCCTCGTAGATAGTTTGTGTCTAAATTTAGAAATTTATTCATAGCCCGCTAATTAATATTATCTTCTATGCAGGAGATTGCAGGGCTGATTCAACTTGCAGCCTTACCAATCACCTGACGATGCTCATTTAGTTTGTCTCGAGCAAGTCTTCTTGAAAGACTTGTGTGAATGGAAACTACCTATATGTTTTGCCTTCCTCCGATTTTAGAAGACAAATTTATTGAGGATTTGCATATAATTCTCATTGATTGTTGGCTGTTTATAATTCCTATTAAATGTGAATTCTGATTATAACAAAGAGTTAAACATTTTTTACGTAATTTACGGGCACTTTTTTCTTGTCAATACTCCAAGCTGAGGTAATAAGCAAGACAATACATTTATGTCATCTGGAAGCAAAATATACACACTAATTAAAAGTTTGACACATTGAGATAATACATCATGACAGAAAATACAAAGATACAGTATGTATGACCATCACATGGTAATTAAAATTAAAAAAAATTAATAGAGGCTGTGGAGTATGAAAAGTTCAAGACAAAGAAAAGAACAAAAGTTCATAGCTCATGAACTCTCAATTCTGCCTCCATTGCTTTGTGAAGGCCAATATATTCCGAGTGGCTGAATTGGTTTACCTTTATGATAGCAACGGTTTTGTATTTAATATAGCGAGATTTTTTTCAATTTAATTGAAGTGATATTATTTCCCAAAGCAATGCTTGAATCGTCTAGAATAGATCAGTGGTGTCAAACTCATGGGTTTCGAGAGCCGCATTGCATGTTGGAAATTGTAAAAAGGGCCGCAAACAGTTTTTGATAATGTATATCTTGAAGATATTTTTCAGATAGTTTTAGTTTGTGACATATATTGTGATGCAACTAATCAGTTGGATTAAGTTTTATTATTTTCTTTAATTTCAAATGCAATTACATATTAATATTTGCATTCCACTATTATTGCAAGTTACTGTATTTATTACAAAAAAAATTCCATGTACAACCATCAAAATCATTTTTGAACAAGCTTGGTTAAGGAAAGAATAATAATACACTAAAAATGACTTAATCTAAATGAACCTAAAATTAACAAAAATACTACAGTATAAACTCAATGTTTTTTTAATTACATTTGTCCTGACGTTTGGCATCTTCTTTGTGTCACCAGCATACTAAGGCCAGGCTGAAATGATTTTATAGTACCAACTCTAACTAACGAGGTCACATGATCATGGGTTAATCTGTATCTTTGCAAAAGTTTAATTAATTCCAGTAATGCAAAAAAGTTACTTTTATCATTTCATGTATAGATCAGTAAAAAAACAAATGACAGATTTTTTCGACAAGACATTTCGCTACATTGCATGGCATAGGATTGCTTGAATTATTATTGATATTGATTTTTAGTAACTAAGTCGTTGTATATTTATATTAATATACAAACACATGGAAATTTTCTGTTCGGAGTTGGTCTTCGAATTTGTCATATTGACTGCTGAGCTTATTGTGTTTTTTCATTGTACTGATGGAAATATGACAAATTAAACAATGTGCTTCAGAATTTTGTGAAATGCAGAAATATTGCAACTCCCATTTTCTTCGAAAATGCCACCTTCTTCATGTACTTTAATTTAATCACTCAAGTGTTTTATTCAGTATTCTTTTGCTAGCTTGATGTGTATTCTTAATTGAGTCAAAATGTGAACAAAAAAAATTAACTTTCTAAAACTACTTTCAGTAAATTGTTTTCTGTGTGAATATTCAATTTCACTTTAAAAGGTTTGAAAAATCTTTTACATTTAAATAAAAAAAATTCCAAAATACTATTACAATTATTGTTAAGCGTTCGAGGGCCGCACTGGAAGTTCTCTGGGGCCGCGAGTTTGACATCCCTGGTCTAGATTGAAGTTGTCCAAAATATATAACATTATTTTATCATGAATCATGATTATACCCTTTCCTGAATTTCTTCTATAGTACTACCAAAATTTGATGAACCAAATATAACACAGGTGTAGTCAGTGAACCGTAATCCTCATTTTTCAAAGCTGTTTTAAGTATGTCTGGCATGTTTTGTGCCTTTTTACAAAAAGACCGCTTATGCAATCTTACGCTTTGGAATTTTTAGTTATTTCCCTCAAGCCCTGCAGGATGTAGGGGCCATACACAACTTTACCGGAGGGTCAAATGTCTTTGCATTCCTCCATAGGTTGTTCTTCTATTGCAAACATTTATGGAGTATTCTAATCATATTTCTTGGAATCAAACTGTCACTGATATGTCGCCAGACTTCTGATATCTCCCCTTCAGCTACAGTTGTCCTGTGAATAAATAATAGGAAATTGAGGTTAGACGAATAGTTGAAAGTTTTGTTTTATGTCGGCCTAATTTCTTGATTGATATACTTACTATTATTGCTATTGCCTCTTGTGCTGCAGGAGTCTCACAATGCTTAGACAGGTCTGTCCACAACTTTCACATCTGTAGGAGAGAGAGATGTATTAATTTGTTAAGAATAAATAAAGCAGTCTATATGATTCAGAATGGAAAAGCTAATAAATCCAATATCTTATGTTTTTTGTAAAAAATGTTTTACTGAATTTGGTATATAAACCAACTAATAAAGGGGTTTAGTCAGAAAATTATAAGCATTCGTGGCTCCAAATACTTGAGAGATCAGACTATACAATATAGACCGGTATGAGTGAAATTTTAGGTGAACTTGTTAACCCTTGATTCAATACGCAAATAAAAGTGAATGAGCAATAGTATGTTACAGCAATAAGTATATATCCTCACTGATTAAAAAAATCTAAATGGAGGTGCATGAACTATTTGAAACCATAAGGGGTAAGTAAATATGCAATTTCGGCAGAACAACTACGTACCGTACTGAATTAAAACTTCGTAGTATTTGACAAAAGCTGGCTTTCCCGCATGTACTTAACAGTGCGATGCCCGGGTGTGATATACAACAATAGTATTTACCTTACTTTTTTCCGATTTCTTTTTACTTCAATTTTCCAAATATCATTAAAAACCACAACAACTGTCGAAGCAGGCTCGAACACCATTCGTGCTATGCCTTGAAAGCAACACACATCCGCTCGTTTTCGTTTCGTCAAGTATGTGCATTGGAGCGTGCTATCGAATACGATCTTCGGCCAAAAATGCCGGAGTTGCGCATCATGTTGTTTAATGTCATTGCTCTGGTCGAAGATAGGAAACCGGGTGGGAGATTGGGCAGTGGGTCGAGGATAAGAAGGCAGAGAGAGAGAGAGATAGGAAAGCGGGTCAAAGATAGGCTGGCTGAGGAAGATAGAACAGGGGTCGAGTATAGGAAACCGTGAAAGAGATAGGGCAGCGGGTCGAGAATAAGAAATTGGGAAATATTCGGCGTTTAATTTCAAACTTGGGGATGTGTGCCACAGTGTCCTTAATTAAAAAAAACAAAATATGAAATTCTAAGTCCTGCAATCGTCCGTTATTGAGCACCACAACAAAGGCCTGCTCCGTGGTACTTCCGTAGTGTGTTTACCAGATTAGGCCATAATTTCATTCCGATTTTCCTTATTTTAGTTTTATACAAGTTCGGGGACTATCTGTGTTAGCCAAATATACCCCATGCACATAGGTTTCAGTCCCTTTACACAAGTTGATGTAAAGTAGGCGAACAAAATTAGTTACCATCATAACGGCACATACACTCCTGGATCGCCTGCTCCATTACTTCTATTTATATTAACGAGTTTATCGCATTAGCAACATTGCTGTAACTTCAGTAGAGAAGTTCTGTGATAAGAAATCGTCAAAGCAAACAACATTAAAAGGGGAATCCACTAGTGAAATGAGCTAACATATTCTAGAACTATTCCTATATATTTTTGCCTCAAGAATAAAATATTTTGACTTTACATCATCAAATATAAATATGCTCGAAACATTAGTCATTTATTTTATTATGTACAAGATATAAAATGCAGTAAAACAACGTGCAAAAATTTGATGGTCACTAAAATCAGCAATAAATAAGATGTTAAATATGAAAAGTCTATGCCTATTTAATCAGGTAATCTAATGATATTAGGACGGTGGCTTTGCAAACAAATAATAAAGATTTGGTATGTTTTGACTTTCTGGCTTCGATGACGATGATGGAGTGATAGTCTGTTCATACTTGATTGGAGCAGCAGCATAACCGAATTCTCGAGCACTTTCATCCACTTTCAGTTGATCTTGGAGATGTTTCGTGTCGATACAAATCATTGTTATTTTCAAATTCGTTGCTTGATGTTGGCAAGGTAACTGCTGAATTGCTGTCGCCACTTTTTGGAGGCACTACTGTTCCTTCAGCTTCGTGTATCTTGATGTGCTTTCGGAGAGAGCTTGAGTGAGTGTAGTTTTTTTTGCATCCAGGAACTCGGCATCCATATGGTTTAGAAGGTGAATGAACGCGAATGTGCTTTTTGCGGTCGGAGCTGTTTGCAAATCGCCTATCACATCCATCAAATGGACAAACGAATGGTTTCTCTCCAGTATGAGTGCGTTCGTGGTTTTTAAATTTTCTCTTCTTGCGAATACTTTGCCGCAATTGGGATGTTTACAAGCAAATGGCTTTTCACCTGTGTGAACTCTTATGTGATTAACAAGTTTGTACTTGGCTTGGAATCCTTCTCTCTGTGGCAATCCTTCCAGTGGCAAGTGTAGTCCGTTTGATCATGACCTCTAACATGGTCTACAGTGACGTGATCAACTAAATGAGTCATGCCGTAAAACTCTTGATCGCATGTTTCGCAGTTTTCATAACTTTTGCAGTCTTTGATAATCCACTTGCACGACAAGCTTTTTGGTTTGTTGTAAGCTTGGCCGTTTCCAGAGAATTGATTACCTATACTCTTTGTCGTCATTTTACATATGGACCAAACAGTGGAAATATAAAATGTTGTGGAATCTGCAGATTTTGCTACACAAGAAGCAGCGCCCGAAACTAGTTTTATGTTGTTTTCTTTTCAGCTTTGTTTACTAAGAAAAACGGCTGCTAATCACTTAAGTTATAATGATGTTATAATTGGCATTCGCATACCCGCAAGAGCTCCATTACATAATTCTCGTGCTGATTTTTTTTTGTATAGTTTCACCACTTGCCGATCTTTCTGTCACTTTTTTCGTGTTTTTTATTCGTCTTTCTGAGTTGTAGGCCTGGGTTTTGTAATAGAGTATGAGCAAGCGATTGCATAAGCCATATTATTTATCGGTTCTTTTTGCTCGGAGACAATGTAATGATGCGGTTGTGACGAATATTCGACTTTATATACGAACTCTTATCATTTCTTCTTCCGATTCCAGCTTTCCCACGCCATTCCTTCCGCTTTCTCTCCTTTCTGTTATTCGACGTTGAATTAGCGTTGTTGACATTGAGATATAGTTGATTACGTTCTTTGTTTGCCATATTCACCTTCGTGAGAATGTAAACATAGCGTGTGTTGGTCGCGTGACTTGCGTTAGGTTTTTTGAATATGTCTATACATAAAATTGAACTATTGTACAACTATTTTTTCGAAACATTTTCAACTGCTTTTCGCTATAGCTCCTTATTCAAGTCAAATGATGTGATTCGGAAGAGTCCTTTTGAATTTTGGTATAAATTGTAAACTAAACAAAACAAATATGGTCTCATTCAACAAGTTGAAATAAACTCTCACATGTCATACAAGCATCATTGAGTCAAACTTTGTATCAAAATACAAACGCAGATTATCTTCATTTATGTGATTCGCTGGTTTAGAAATGCACAGAATTTAAACCAACTAAAAATTTTTTAATTTAATTCTGATTCTTTTTCATATTCAAAAATTGTTGTCGAAAATATCAGCCATCACTGGCGTGTGCCTGAATGCCTCTTCACTGACTTCCGATCACTGATTACTATCGTAAACAAACAATAGAATGATAAGACGGGAAGAGCGTGGGAGTTTCTTGCTTGACAGAATAAAATTAGTCCTCTGAAAGGGAAAACCATAGTTACAATAAAATTTCAAATTGTCTGATTTTAGTCAGAAAACGACGGAAAATTAAACATGCAACATTCTAATGTAGTTCTTCCTGCATGCTTTATCTATTGATTTTTCACTTTGAATTTATTGAGCCCGATGTGTACATCTGGATGGCTTTGTAAAACCGTTGTTTCTGTTCTTGTGGAATGTCGCTTTTATATCTGTCTTGAATTTAGCTGACATACTGCGCTAAATTCATAACCGACTAGCGGTTATGTGAACCACCCTACGGCGGCAAGGAGTCCAGCAATCCTATGTCACATAACTATCCTCATATGAATTCGAACATGCGAACTCTCGCAGAATAATCAGAGCCAGGAGGTGCGGTGGCGAACCTATTCCTAACGCTCAGCATAATGCGCCACACCCTGACACCTCGGCTGAATCAACTGAAATGTAGAAAATCAATAATTGATTTTACCAACCTGCATTATTTTCTTGATCTCCGCGTTAATAAAATAATTAAACGAATCGATGTGTTGCTTCACCAAGCCTTTTACTTTGAGAAACACCGGTAATATTTTCCATTTGTCTTTCACATCAGAAACCGGCTTATTCAACTCCGCATATTCGTCTTCATTATCACCCTCTTTCTTCATATTTTGGCCTTCGTTATAAATGGAACAGAGAATACAAACGCTATGATATCTGTCCAATCTACTGAAAACGGCAGTGCGAACTAAGCAATGAAACAGAACAACAGAATGCACTGACAGAAGACACTCCTGTTTGTATTATTTTTAGAGCAATGGGTGTTGAAAGTGACCAAGCTATAATGCAACTGATAGGTAAGGCACTAGGTCCAAATTTTACTGTGGAGTCACGAATGAGTCGGAATGGTCGACATTATATTTTCAAACTTTGTAAATGTGTAACGAAAAAGTATGAACTGAAACATTCCAAGATCTTTATCCACCAATTCTCCCAAAATTTTATTAAGACTTTAGTTGCAGAAATGCTTGTTAATTGAGCTTTTTACATATTTTTACAAATCTTGAAAATATGCTGATTTCAATTAATTCATGGATGTTAAACTATGGACTATGCATATTGCACAATTACCTGATTGAATAATCCCATATGCAACCTGGACTGGTAATCGAAGGAAAGTCTCCGCTTCCCCTTGCGACTAATTCATCTCAATCTGAGCCCTTTCTCTCCTGGTCAAATATTAAAATCATATATTCTTGGACACGAAGTGTATGTGTATATTGTTTCGTTATTATGTTGCTTGTTGTTCCTGTTGGTATTTTTTTTCATATAATTATGAAAAATTGCTTTTTTCAATAATTGCTTTGAATTTTCAGTGGTTGAAGATTGTATTTTGGTAGAAGTTTATTACTTTTTTTTATTTTAAAATTTCTGTGGGCTTTATGTGATTTGTTTTTCATGTACGATGACATCATCAAAAATTGTGCACTTTGTTGTGGTTTTGGATTCTCAATAGTCGTGAAGACTGTGGTATTGGTAGTCTACTGCGACAGATTGCTTACCTGTACTACTTCGTTCTGGCCTTTGCCTTTGTGTCCATGTTTTTCAGCATCACTTTTTTGTACTTATATAAGTAAATATAATCAGAGTTGGGTACCCATGAAATATGCGCACCAGATGTCGCATGTCCTGAACCCTAAGCTGGTACACAACCTGATTTCAGGTTGTGCGCCACCTTGGTGCGCATACTTCAAGAGGTCCCATAGTTGTTGTTTACATTAACTTTATCTCAGGAACCGATGAGTCCATCATGTCTCTATTTGCATCCACTATCGAAGAATGTCACAGACTTGAAGTTTTACTCAACTTCAAGCGACTCGTTATATTGGTCGAAAATCCGTAGAAATCGTGGCATGTGGGGAGCACCGAGACGATCACGAAACGATGAAGCAAGAGACTGGCTGGCAACAACTTTACTTGCTCATGTGCCTGTTATTGATTGGAATTATCATTGCAAGGTTAGACATGTTTCATATTGGTTTAGTTTTGTAAAGTTGTAACTGTTTTTTACTTGTGATGTTGCAAAAAAGATAAGTTTAAAAGATCTCATTTTTAATATTTTATTTCATGGATAATAACAGGGCTGTGGCGAGAAAATTCACAATCAACATTCAAATTTGGATCGAAAAGTGTAAAAAAACTTTTGTTTAAGCTTCCGAATCCAGATTGATAAATATGTAAACCCTCGTCCTGAATTTGTGTAGAAATCAAATTTTGCTAATAAAAACTTAACATATATGCAACTTTCTTTTTTAGGCTGTTAGAAAAATTTGTCAACTCAATTAATTTTTTTTATTTTCTGTAGAAAAGTTTGACTATTAATTGTTTGAACTTTTACTTCTGAGGAATCAAAAATTTCTCTACTCTCTACTCTGGGGAGTTCTGAGTATATGCCATGAATCCCGCTTCAATAAAACATTCTGAACCCCGCCTCCATAAAAAAAAATTTAAATTTTAAAGATTTGTTACACTGTTAATCTATTCTTGTGATTTGTCTCATATGCCCTTGTTCAATGCCATCCCTCATCAAGTTATTTGTGTCATGTAGTTTATGCAGGAGGCTTCAAGCATGTCTGGATTTTAATGGCTAAAACCCTGCTAAGCTTTTTATACTTTTTTCTTAACAGGCTGTCTACCTTGGACTTATGATAAGACGAAGTATTCTAACACAGCTTTGGAAAATTGAGGTATTTAGATGTATAGATTTTTAATCTCAAACGACTGTTTTAATAAGTTGCTTCTATATAAAAATACCGAATATTTTACTATTTTGAATACATATTGAGGAAATGTTTTGGAATATGTAATATCAAATATATTCTAAATTGGGGCCATGTTCTTGTGGAAATTAAAGAATTTACTATATCTTGATGATCATATCTATAATGACACTAATATAAAAGATCATTGTTTTTCTGTGTTGTTCTTATCAGTTGAGATATTGTAGGTTTTGTTCTTCTTTTCTGTCAGCTTAAAATTCCTAATTTTTGAATAAAAATGTTCTTGAGTTATTCCTAAATTCAAAAATGTACCATATCGAATATAATGAGATCCCTGCTCTTATATTCATTTATTCTAACAGGTAGATGACAGAGACTATTATGGGAATAAAAGAATGGAGTTAGCAGGTGGCCTCGTGTCCCTTTTGTTTGAAGACTTGTTCAAGAGATTTAACGCAGAATTGAAAAAATTGCAGATCTTACAATTCCCAAACCTCGGGCTGCTCAATTTGATATCGTTCGTCATATGAGACAAGTGTGTTTGGCAGTTTTATATAATTTTTTTACCCCCTGCGTTTCTACCAGTTAATCATGTCTTTTATTTGTGTTAATTTATAATTTAAGTTGATAATGTAAGATTTTTTCTATGAAATGGCAAAAGCTTTTTTAGATTAAACAAACTTTGACAAAGTGGCGCTAAATTTACCATTTAAGAAGGTTATATTTTGGTGGAATTATCACTTACATCAAAAGCAAGCGTTTAGGAAATTTTAAAATATATTTCAAATAGGAAGATTTCTGCTTTATATATGAAAATCCATAGTCAAAGCTAACGTTTGAATGCTTAGGTATAGAAATGTATGTGTCCATACTTTTTAATCTTACTTTTTAAATTCTCTTCATTATGAATTAAGAAATCAAATACTTCTCACACTGTTTTGACTTTTTGCAGGATCCTATCACCAATGGCCTTGTTATTGCAATATCAACTGGCAAATGGGTGGTGAAGAGATTTAAAATGGAGAGAAAAGGTGTCACACAGGTGATCTATCTTAGTTCAGTTTTGTTGAAATTCTGAGACGATTTGTATGTATGATATCTTCTTGTGTTCAAATTGAAAAAGCAAATTTAGACAATGAAAAAATTGAAATTTGTTACATTATTATTACCGGTAGTTTTATGCTGCCAGCAAAAATGCAGATCAACAAAAAATGACTTTTATAGTAAATTGAATTATCGGCAATTATATTAGAAGCACGAAAGTATCTTCTATGTAACCTCCAATCATTCGGGTAATTACAAAGTTAATATATTTTATTCAATTTTTATTGTTCCATTTGTTTTCGCCTTCGGAAATGATATTTTGGAAATGAATGCAGAAGATATATCTGTATTATCTTCATCATTTTTAAATTTGGCTTTAAACTGGCTAAATATAGATACTTCTTCATACACTTTTATTAATTCAGTACCCATGTCTATATGTAATTACATTTTGCGTTATTTAGTTCTCCATAAAATTTTAGGTTTTGACAAGATTATCGTACATATCCGCTCTTGGAATGATGACAAGAATTTCATCGCAGTTTCGAGAAAACACGTAAGTAAGCGGACCACGATCCCTGCAACCTTCACAATGGGGGATGCTCTGTCCTTCTGACACACCCGAAGGTGAAGCTTGTGGTTTGGTGAAAAATTTGGCTCTTAATGACTCATATTACAGTAGATGTAGAGGAAGAACCGGACTGCCAGACTTGTTTTAAATCTTGGTGTTGAAGATATATACATGCTTTCAGGTAAACTTGATTAAACATGTTTCAGTCAGTCAGTAGTTTATTTATCACCAAAATGGAAATATAACTGGTGCAAGGAGTACCGTACCGGTACCGTACTAGTAGGGGCAGAGTAATTCTGCTGTTCTGCGATTTATTGGATAGTAATTGAAAGTTTATACCAGGATTATAGCACAGTACTATGAATTTAGATATTCCCAGGGCCTACAGAAGTACTGATACTATATTTTTTCAGATTATCTGGTATTGTATCGTATTGTATCGATATATAGTATATATATATCTCTCCATATATTATTATTCATCATCGCCTAATGCCGATATAAATTATTTGTATTCATTACTTAGGTATTAATTGACTCGAAAATTGCTTAATTACTGAAATACCAGAATATGGAATTCTGAGTCTGCTGTTACGAATCAAAGTAAACTAGTAAGCTATACTCAGATGCTGGAGTTTTTATAGAATGAAAATTAACTTTACTTGACACCCCTTTTGATAAGTCGTTTTGGTCACTAAAACTTAGGTTTGATAACCTGAAAGTCGAAAGTCGAAATGGTTCTTCAGTCATTTTTACTCGTATTTTACCTTCAATGCAGAATACTATTTAAATTCTCTATCGAAGCATAAATTTATTTGCTGCATCAATTATTCAAAATGGCCACCAATACTGACACAGTGAATACTTGACACCAGACGTGATAGACGAGTTGATGCATACTAAAATGGATGGGGTATGTGCAATAAAGGTTGACTCCAATACGGAAGAACTATCTCTATATCAGTCAAATCTGTACATGGTTTGATGGAGAGTATACAATCGGATGTAGGGGAGAGTGGGGCACAGTTGCCTCATTTTTCTTTGGCGATTTTCGAACTATTTACTACGCTATTTCAACTTCTAAAGCATATGACTACATTGTAAGAGAAACGAACTTTTTATTTCTTACCAAAGAATTTGCTCAATGGGAATATTTTTCCTGTGAGCCAGGTTTTTTAAAAAAAAAATTTTGTCCCACTGTGCCCCGACGTCGGTATACAGTGGGACGGTGGTTGGGTCACAGTGGGACACTGAGGAGGAAATAATTTATAAAGAACAAAACACCATCAGGAAAGAAATTTTGCTAAAATATCGAGCCCTTATTCGTCCTTCAAAGCTACTGGATATTCCATTGTGTGAGATCTTCACTAAATCGGTAGTGTCTGGAAGCTCTTGCCGTGCCGCCAACTTTAACTGGAGCTTCAAGGCGACAGACTACATCTTCTTCATCCAGCCCGAATGTGCTTTCTTCATCTTCGGGGAAAACAAAAGCGGAATTTGTTGCTTTCGACGGGATTCTTTGCATAAATATAACTAAATCAAATTCCGACGTAAGCAACGCGTTTCCACCACGCCTTCTACTGAATTTAATAATGGCAAAATCCCCCAGCTGCCACCCGATCTACACTATCGTCTACACGCGAATCAACTTCACTTTCCAGATCGCTATCGTCATTCAAGGGACAGATGATTCATCACTGCTCGTTTCAGCAGGTGCCGCAGCCTTAGAGCTTTTGATTTTGGATTGTGAGTTAGTCAATTTAGCTGTTAAAGCCTCTTTCACCGGCGTATCCGTGAGAACAAGCGTCTTTGAGCTCTTTCTCCCACACTTTTTTCTTCGCGGACAGGCTTTGTTGAACGGTCTGACATCTTCTGGTGAGAAATGCAGTAGTGCCGGAGGTCCCAGGCAAAGAGCTTACATCGGCGTTGCTTGGCGCAGCCTGACACTCTTCGCTATCATCTTCTTTTGGTTCTGGGCGATCTGTAACAAAGGAAGACAAGAACTCATGGTCGCCAAATATATCTCGATCAAACGGAAATATTCCAGACACCCGAAATCCCGACTGAATATTTTCAGGCGTGAACGCGCGAATGTATGCTGTTTTAGCAACTCCGGCGATATCGTATATCGTTAGAGTTTTGCCTGCATGTTCTGGAAGAGTTAGCCACGCATCAACGGCGTTATTGTAGTAATGTTTCAGCGGCCCGTATACTGACCTGTCCAGAGGCTGTAGTTTGTGACTACAGTGGGGTGAAATGTGAGGAGAACCAGACCATTTTCCTTTGCGTAATTGAGAGAATCAATCGTGATGTGACTCTTGTGGTTGTCCATTAGTAATAGTGCGGGAGTTGAAGGTGTGCAGTTTGCATGTTTTACGAAATGTTTCATCCATGAAAGAAAGATTTCTGAATTTATCCAACCAGATTTGTTTGCAAACCCAGCTGCACCAAGTGGCGCACCTCTCAGCATATGTTCTCTGAAGTTGACTCTAGGAAAAATGAAGCACGGAGGTATGGAGTTTCCTAGTGCATTGACTGCTCCTATCATTGTCACAAGAAGTCCCCTTTCGGCCGAAGTAATCTTTCCCACTTGCTTTATACCTGTTTCGGCAATGATCTTGGACGGCACTTGAACGGTAGTTAACCCGGTTTCGTCCATGTTATATATGGAATTTGGCTCAAACTTGTTACGCTTCATTACGGAATCAAGGTTATCAAAGAATTCGCCAACATTTTTCCTGTTGAAACTGGTAGCTCTCGACAAACTTGTGGCTTCTGGTTTGCGCAGAGAGAGTTTAGGATGACGCTGCATGAATCCGTACAGCCAGTCGCTTCCTGCCCTACTGTTCTCAACCCATGACCGCGGAATGTTTGTTCCATTTTTAACTGCCATTTTATACGCTAGCTCTCGAAACCTCGTCTTTTCGAAGCCCGTAGTGGTGTCTGGATGCCTGTAGCAGATAACACGAAAGCCCCTTTCCTCATCCGAAAATATTCTTCTTACCGTGTAGTTAGGACGAAAATACTCGAGGCTATCTGAGGGCGCTGAGTCGGACACAGAACTTTCTGACATAAACTTCAGTTTTTTGACGTAGGGGAAAGTGGGGAAGGTTGGGACACTTTTTTTCTTTTGCATATTTTGAGCCGTTAATTCTGCATATTCTCTTAAGTTTGCGGGACTAATGCATAGAGGGGTAAATGTAGTTTTTATTCAGCAACAAAGAAATTCCCTTGCGACACACATCTTACTACCAAAATGCTTTGAAAAACGTCTGTCAAGTGTCCTACTGTACCCCACTTGTGGGGCACAATCGGACAGACCCTGGGGCACAATGGGTCAGTCTGTCAAAATTCAACGAAGTATGCCCTTAAAAATAAGCAATTAATCAGCATAATCGTCTAAAGTACGGGGAGACTTCGAATTTGAAGATTTAATATTTTTAAAATCAATGTTCATTTGAAATAGTTCAGATATTTTGACAAAACATTTTGCAAAAAAATTTGATTATTTCCTTCCTCGAATCTAAATCTGGAAATATTATTGATTTTCGAATATATTCCATATTGGGCCATGGGTCGAAAGAAACCATTATATTACACAAAATATAACGCATCTCTAAGTCTCTAAGCACTTATTGTATCAAAACTGTCGAATTGTGCCCTGTAGAGCATGTCCCATTGAAACCCGGTCCATTGTTCCCCATAGGAAACAAATACTTTCAGACCATCCCACGGCAAAATTCGGAAGGCACAGCCAATCGCTAACGTTAGGAATATTTTACAGTGGACTGACGCTAAAGAATATCATACGATGGTTTGTCTCGTTGGAAAGGCTAAACTAAAAAAAAGAAAAAACTGGAACGGTGAAATTTTTTTTTCAACCTCCCAAAACCAATTTCACCCCATAGCTTACGCCGCTCTACCCGTCCGTTGTCCGTTCGCGGGGACGTTGTAACTCCCCGAAGGCGGATTGGAACATCGAGCCGCGGATAGGATTGCGGATATAGTATCAGTGTGATAGCTGATTTTCCACTGTGCCCCATGTCCCAACGTACCCCACCTTCCCCTACCTTGATAGGGTTGTTTTGGGAATGGCATTTTCTCTTGCAGTTGTACGCAGTTTTTTGCCTTCATGAATCACCTGCTCCGCTGCTCTTTTCATTACCAATGGATCGATCTGTCCTATGGAGGTTTTTCTTTTCCTTTTACGTGGCATTTTGCTAGTTGTTTATTTAAATCAATTAGGATTGCTCTGAAATAGGAAGACAATCCAACATTGCAACTAGCAAGCAGGAGCGGGGACAGAAGGTAGGCTACTCTAGGTCCCTCAAACCCTACAGAGCTGTGGAGGGGTTCAGTGGGACACGTCCCAGTGTGTACTCGTGGTTGATGTCCCACTGTGCCCAAGCCCATCATTTTGGGATAATTGACCCTCTCACGACAAGTAGGCTAGAGTGCCGATCTATCTTATACCCGTCATAAGCCACTGTGGGCACCTACCTGGCATGCCAATATGGGCGACAAAAGTCATGCGGGCTGCAGTTTAGAAGAAAAAACTTCGGCAATTTATTTTTACTTTGGCCCCTAAAAACAACGAAAGTCTCCCTAACTTTTTCCAATACGACCTACCGGCGCAAATAAATTTCCTAGAGGACAGGCTTGACCGTGACTTTTTTCAGTTTGGTCACGTGCCCGGTACGACCACCGGTGTCGCTAGTGAGTGGATTGGACCACTGTGCCCCATGGGCCACCGTGCCCCACTCTCCCCTATTCGGTGTGAATACGTTGAAAGGGTGGATGAAGTGCTTTGGTTGCAATAAAAATTAGGAGTTATTTGTTGGTCAGATACCAAAGTACTGTTGTAAAACGAAATATTTCTTCAACTTCCATGTTTTGACAGGCTCAGAAGCTGCAAATTTATCTAACGAAATTATAGAAAAAGTTGATAACAAAGAAAGAAGAAATGCCCGAAAAAATTGCGAGTGAAATAACTAGACCTGGAAATGATATCTTCCTTAGAGGTGCAATTTTGTAAAATAAATTTCGCGGCCATCCAGAGAATGCCTGCCACATTTCTCAAGGCTCACTGATACCCCTCATGAACAAAGGATCAGATTCACTTCCGACTCTTGTGCCCATCTCCAGAATACTTGTTATTCATTCAGCATATATACATTAAATTTTCCCAAGAAGCTTGTGAAAATCCCAATAATATTTAGTTTAATACAGTTTTCTGCAGATGTTTTTGCTGGACAATATTTCAGAAACTTCGTAATAAACATTGAAAAGCAGTGTGATGGAGAATTGTCAGGTGATATAGAACGAGTGATAGTATACGAATATTGTCTTACACATTTACATATGCTGAGATCTATTTTGCTTTCTTTTTGATTCGCTAATAAAACAATGCTTTGGCCGAAATAAACTGTACTTCAATTGATTCACTGCGGACTGGAATAAGATGTTGGCCCTTCGAAAAGGGTTAGAGGTATTTTATTCGTAATATGAGGGTTGAATAGATGGTATTATGGAGGTAACATGTTTGTATTCAAACTGCCAGAATAAATTTATATCGGCATTAGGCGATGGTGAATAATAATATATGGAGAGAAAAATATATATATATGCTACTATATATCAGTGGATACAAGGTTAGAATGTGGTGAAACTGTTTCACCAGCATGACAAATGATCAAATGCAGTTTAGTACTTTAGTAGTATTACAAACTTATTTTCGCAATAATAAATATACTAAATAGAAACTCATTCTGGCTAGAAGACTATTTTTTTATTATCGAGGTTTAAAAAAACTTAAACAGATTACAACAGACCATTTTCAGATCTTCTTTTTCACTGACAATTATTTCAGGCATTTTTCTTGGTTTTTCAATAAATTTGCAGCATCTGAGTTTGCCAAAACATCTACAGGGGACTTGAAAAGAGATTTTGCTACACAACAGTACTTCAGTATTTAACCAATAATTAGCTAGTAATTTTTATTGCGACTAAAGCACTCCATCCATTCTTTTAATATAGATCCTATAAAATCTTAGAGCTGCACATTCGGACCTTATCTTAGGCTGAGGGGCTGACTGGATACAATACCAGATAATCTGAAAAAAATATAGTATAGTACTTCTGTAGGAAACTAAATTCATAGTACTGTGCTATAATCCTGGTATAAAAACTTTCAATAATCAAGAATTACTCTCACTAGTACAGAATACCGGGTACGGTACGACCCTCACCCCCAGGACTTTCAAACTTACGGTATGGTACCGACGCAGGGATGACTGACAGAAACCCCTACCTTATCCTAATGCCTCAGAATATATTTTCAGTTATTTCCATCAATAAAACCATTCCAAATACGCAAATAAATTTAAAAGTAAATTCTCTACCATAAGCTTCAGTATATAGCAAACTGATGACGTAGAACGCATCGCTCATGCGTAGCGAAAGCGCCGTGGGCGAACTATATTCAGTTAACCATGGCAATATGACGACGGAAGAGAAATTGCGTAATAAACCAACGCAACCTTGTCTTTGGTAAAGCGATTGAGACGGCATGAAAATAACGAAATTTCTCGCGGACCGACAAAAAAGCTTCGCAGCCCGGCACCGGCGGTTGGGAACCACTGCTTCAGATGACATTTTCACAGGCTGCAATGAAACTGATATCTTCCTTTTCAAAAGCCTTTAACACCATCTGAGTGTTCTGAAACATTGAAATCACAAAGCTCTAACAAAACTACTAGCAAATAAACTAATTTAACCAGACAAGACAAGATTGGGAATGCTATATATTCAGCAGTCTTATCAATTTCAAATGATTTTCACTTGGTTATCGAGCTGCAAAATAATGCAGCGAAATTTTCGGTAATTCGGCATTTTAATAAAACAAAGAAAAATTCTATATAAAGAAAAAATAGTTGCAATCAAGTATTCGCAGATACTACACTTTTAAAAGCACAACACCGACATGCCTGGATAGTATTCGAGTGGAATTGCTCCATCAATTTAGCATTGCATTACGTCAACTTATTTCTGCATAACAATTATTCAATTGGTATTTTGGCACTTCCGCGTTTCAATCATCGCCTGACATCTTTGGAATCAGCTCATATTTGAATGGATGGTAGTATATTCGACCAGACTAAGCGTGCTCAAACTCAATGGAATTAGGTAAATCCAGTCAATCTAAAAAAATAATTTATTAGTTTATATTTTTCAGCATTTGCCGCTTCCGCGTTGAGTCAGCGCCTGTCTTTATTGAAGTCAGCTTATTTTTGAATAGATAATAATATACGTGTCCATATCGAAATATTTGAATGGACCCAATCCCAAATATTTTTTGAAAGGTCGATAAATTTATTTTGTGAGCGGTTTCTACAACTATATGTAGTGATGATCTTGGAAGCAACCTGCACGTTATCCAATCCAATGTTGGGTGCTACCTGCGAACAATTCCGAACAACATTCCGAATTTGTGAACAACTGAATTTCATTAAATTTACTTAGGTTTCAGACTAGAGTAAAATTTGGTGTAAAACTTCTGTTCAGTTTTGTTTTGAACGCAACTGAAAATGTGAAAATGTTGCGAAGTAATTCTAAATTTAAGGAAGTTGACTGAAAGGAAAGTTATAAGATTTAGAATGGTATCTCTGTGCGTTGCGGTCTTTCAAACTGATATCTATGTTGGCCAGTTCAAAGAGGTTTTTATCTGATGTGATAACGGAGGACGATTTGGTTGAGAACTTAGGGCTAGGAACGGTTTGCCGTGTATTCGGTTAGCCGAGTTTCGATGGTTAACGGTTACGATTTTTTTTACCTTTAGCTGACAACTCACTTTTATACTTTACAATTTTTTTTTCAAATGATTAGTTCATCGCA